AATCTTTACAACAGCAGATTGCCAGGTCTTTCTGCGGAGCCACTGGGTGGGTTTGAACTGCTAACCAGTCAGCAGCCAAGCGTTTAACTATGGTGCCACCAGGCCTTCTTACCTTTGTACTAATCAATATACTGTAAATTAATTTCAGTGCTATGCCAATATACCTAAATTAGTCATTACACAGTGTCTATTATGCAGTCAATAAAATATTGACTAATAATAGTAATAAAAAGATACTACAGTTAAGGAAAAGAAAGGAGGGAAAAAGATGCAGCAAATGAGGCAAAGTCTTGGTACTTGTTCAATCTGGATGATGAGTGTCATGGTTTGAATTATGTCCCCCCAAAAATGTGTGTACAATTCGGCTGGGCCATGATTCCCAGAATTGTGTGGTTGGCATCCATTTTGTGATTGTAATTTTATGTTAAAGAGGATTAGGGTGGGATTGTAACACCACCTTTACCCAGGTCACATCCCTGATCCAGTGTAAAGGGAGTTTCCCTGGGGTGTGGCCTGCAACCACCTTTTATCTCTCAAGAGATAAAAGGAAAGGGAAGCAAGCAGAGAGTGGGGGACCTCATACCACCAAGAAAGCAGTGCTGGGAGCAGAGCGCGTCCTTTGGACCCGGGTCCCTGTGCAGAGAAGCTCCTAGTCCTGGGGAACACCAAAGAGAAGAAGGCCGAGAGAGAAAAAGCCTTCCCCTGGAGCTGACACCCTGCAATTTGGACTTTTAGCCTACTTTACTGTAAGGAAATAAACTTCTTTGTTAAAACCATCCACTTGTGGTATTTCTGTTACAGCAGTACTAGATAACTAAGACAATGAGTATATGGAAGTTCATTGTAGTTTTCTACTTCTGTATACTTGAGATTTTTCATGTAAAAAAAAAATCCTTTGTTCTCCACATCGAAAGTTTTGTTCCCATATCCTGTGTTAAAATGCCAGGAGATGGAGAAGATGGGGATCTGTTCTAAAAAAAGCTGGCTTTGATTCGGCCAAAGCTCCAACTCAAGGAGGCACGACTGGAAAGTGTGTGGGGCTCCCGCTGACAAACGTTTATGATTCTGTCTTTGAGCACAGGTGAGATTTAGGCCACCCACGAGCCTGTAGAAACTCTATTAATTAAATGTGTAATGGATGTTCATCCTAGTTAGATGTTTTTCACCTTAGGTTCAGTTTGGTATGTGCATTAGCACTCTGAGGCCCCTTGTATAACCAGTGTGTACACAATACACGTGTTTTTGTCATAGCTTCACTTTAAAACACGGTTTTGGTTTTTCCTTTCAGCAATTTTTATGAGAGCAAATCTTCGGTCAGTGATATATCTCCCTAATTACAATATTTGTATGGGAAAATGATTTTCTTTATAATGACTGACTTTATGGCAATTGAAAGCAGTTTTGTTGCCACATTGGATACGTTTTATACTTCTTAAATAGGGCATTAAAAAGACCCAAACCGTCAACTGTCAAGTGGATTCCGACTCCTGGCGACACCATGTGTCACAGAACAGAACTGCTCCACAGGCTCTTCTTGACTGTGATCTTTGCAGAAGCAGTTCGCCAGGTCTTTTTTCCACAGAGCCACTGGGTGGGTTCCAACTCTCATCCTTTACGGTAGCAGCTACTCACAAACTGCTTGCACCACCCAGGCTCCACACTTTTCCCTAAATCTTTTCCTCAAAGGTCCATTTAAAACGTCTTAGCAACCTTACCTTCTGATACACAGAATCAAAGAATATTAGCATTAGAGACCTTTGAGGTCACGCAGTCCAGGGATGTAGGTTTCAGTTACGCATCGTCTTCTATTGATTACTGCTGGTTGCCTGGAGTGCTGTGCTGCAAAGGATTCCCAGGCTGAATCTGGGGTCAGTCAGGGAGAAGAATGTTTGCCATACTTGATGTAGCCTAACCCCTCATAGCCCTCATCCATTCATTCATCATGTCTGCATACCCACTATGTGCCAGGAACTCCTCTAAGTGCTGAGGATTCGGTAGTAAGACAGAGTTCCTGCCTTCCTGGAATTTACATTTGAGGCAGAGGGGTAGAGGCAGAGACAGACATTAAGTCCATAAGCAAAGAAACAAGACATATCCAGGTAACAGTAAGTATAATAAATAAAATATATGGAACCGAGTTCCAAATTCAACTTATTGCAACATCCTTGCTTTTCAAACTGAGGTAAGAATACCTCCCAAGGGTTGTGGCAGGAACCAGAAAGGTATTCAAAGACAAATAACTAAATGTTAATTTAAAGATACATGACAAAATATTTTTATAGTCAAACATATGGTCTCTCATGAAGTGTAATCCAAAATTTGCATAAATTTTAAAAACAAGAAATGTCATGCTTGGGTTGCTGCTTTTCCCACACTAAAAAGTTTATTCTGTGACCCTGGAGTACTTAAAGGAAAAGTCTGAGGCTCACTGACATCATACCTTAATTAAAGTGGGCACCCCGGTCCTGTCTTGGGTGCTACTGTGTGCAGTAAGTGTGAGAACAAAAGTCCATCTGAAAGAAAAAACAAAGCATCCAATAGTACAGTTCAGAGATAAAGCGCCTTTATTTTTTCACAATCAAGTCATCAGTAAAGTCAAGAACCCAACATTATTGATTCTCTGTCACTGAAAACAAAGTTGTTGCAAGTTGGTCTGAAAATATCCTCAGGCACCACTAGTAACTGCTGTAAGAAGGCACTTTTTCAAAATTCCCTCCACTCAGTTTTGTTTCTAACCCAGGTAGCCTTTCTATTCTCAGGGTACTGCTCCCCTCTCTACTGTGTGACAAGAGTTTCACTATTGTTTTTTAGCTTTTAAAACACATTTTCTTTATTGTGGTAAATATATGCGTAAAAAAATATCTGACGTTTCAACAATCTTCACATGTACGGTTCAGTGACATTAATTATTTCATCACATTGTTCAACCATCACCCTTATCGGTTCCCAAATTATACCATCACCCTTAACAGCTCAGTGTCCCCTGAGCACAGGGTTTAAATAGCTATGTCGGTATCTTGTCAAATTTATTATAACAGCATTCCATTCAAAGTGTCCAAAGGTAAGATAAAATGTGCTAGTAACCCCTAGTCACTTTTAGGAAAAGCATGGTACATAATAAAGGATGTCAGACTTGTGCAAAGCACAATGGCCATAATTGTTAAATTTCAGAATGTCTTTAAAGTGGTATTTCTCAAAGTGTGCCAAAAACTCTGTGTATTGGAATCACCAGGGGCTTGTTAGAAGGTTCAAGAACCTGCTCCCTCCCTGCTTCAAAAGGCCTGTTATGGACTGATTTGTGTCGCCCCAAAATATGTATTGAAATCCTGGCCCCTGTACCTGTAAATGGAGCCCTGGTGGCGCAGTGGTTAAGAGCTTGGCTGCTAACCAAAAGACTGCAGTTCAAATTCACCAGCCGCTCCTTGGAAACCCTATGGGGCAGTTCTACTCTGTCATATAAGGTCGCTATGAATTGGAATTGACCTGATGGCAATGGGTTTGGTTTTTTTACAGGCACCTGTAAATATGATCCTGTTTGAAAACGGGTTTCTTTGTTATATCGATTGTTATATCCTAGTAGGGTGGCTTCTAAATCTAATCACTTCTGAGTTATAAAAAGGGCAGAATAGACACAGAGACACACACACAGGAAAGATAGAAGCCATGTGAGGATCGTCTACCAGCCAAGGAACCAAGGATGGCTCAGGGCTAACGACAAGAAAGGACCCTTCTCGAGAGCCAGTGCCCTTGATTTGGATTTTTCAGAACTGTGAGAAAATAAATTTCTGTTGTTTAAAGCCACCCACTTACAGTATTTGTTACAGTGGCACTAGGAGACTAAAACAAGGCCTATGCACATCCAAGTCTGAGCACCACTGCCCTAAAGCCTTTCTAAAGGATCCTTCTCAGTCACTGCCATTCACTATCCAATACTCTCTGGTTTTCATATATAAACCCAAACAAAGACTATAACAACAAAGAACACAAACAGAAAGATAGGCAGGATTAAGAAATAATAAGATTCCTTTTTATAAGCATTGATGGAATATGGATGGGGGGGAATGGGAATTTCATATTTATCTCATAGAAACCGATTGTCCTATACATGTTCACGTTGCATGCATATATACAACTCTACAACCCTTCATCCAAAACCCTTGGATCTAAATGTATTTCAGAATTTGGAACAGTTTTGTATTTTAGAAAGTTAATAGGATTTATATGCCATATATTACATAACACACCCAGTGAGGTCTGAAGCAGAACTTATAAATACATTAAAATCTTTTTAGTAACTGCTTAAGATACGCATATTCTGTGACTCAGCATTTTCACTCTTAGGTATATTCAACAGAGATGAGTACACATGAGCAAGGATGTTCGTAGCAGCTTTATTTATAATAGCCCCGAACTTCTCGTGGTTTAGGTACTCAATCAGAAACATGGGAAATGCTCCCTAATTCCCTGTCCTGTTCTCTTTACTTGCAAGGACTATCACGATATATTACCAAGCAAATATTTTTAAGTAAAAGAGAAGGGAAAAACTAACAAACATGATAAATTCCACAACAGGGATGCTGTGTTAGCATTTGAGTTAGCATCTTGTCTTAGTTATCTAGTGTTGCTATAACAGAAATACCACAAGTGGGTGGCTTTAACGAAGAGAAGTTTATTCTCTCACAGTCCAGTAGGCTAGAAGTCCGAATTTAGGGTGCCAGGGGAAAGCTTCCTCCTTCTGTTGGCTCTGGAGAAAGGTCCTTGTGATGCATCAGTATTCCCTTGGTCTGGGAGCATCTCAGCACAGGAACCTCAGGTCCAAAGGAGGCACACTGCTCCCGGCACTGCTTTCTTGGTGGTATGAAGTCCTCTCCTTTCTGCTCATTTCCCTTTCCTTTTATCTCTTGTAAGACAAAAGGTGGTGCAGGCCACATCACAGGAAAACTCCCTTTACACTAGGTCAGGGATGTGACCTTAGTAAGGGTATTACAATCCCACCCTAATCCTCTTTAACATAAAATTACAATCACAAAATGGAGGACAACCACACAATACTGGGAATCATGGCCTAACTAAGTTAACACATATTTTTACAGGACACAATTCAATCTATGACAGATCTCTACTTGGACTGAAATGCTAAGACAAATTCTATTGGACCCTACTCCGTGCAAGCTAGTAACGACAAAATGCACACCATAGATCTTATATAAACATGGAAAGCAGATTTACACAGTATCACCATTTATCACATAAGCTATGGCTGAAATACAATTCCATGACACAAACCCAATATTTTTCACAATTACTAGCTGAAAAAATGGTGGGTATTTAAGAAACTGAAATAAAGCAGCAATCAAATAGAACTGAGGAATTCTGAAATATAGGTGATTTTAATTCTCTAGCTAAAACTTTGCCTTTTAAAAACTGAGGAGTCCTCTTGGTCATCTAGAGATGATTTCCTTTGTATCCTACCAGATGATCCAACTCTTCTCTAAAAGGATCATAGCCTTGTTCCTTTAAACAACGTAGTGCCCAGAAAAGCTGGTCCCCTGGAGGGAATTCTTCCCAGGGAATCCACTCCCAACCTAGAACAGAACGAAACCACATCAACTTATTTAGCTGAAAGGAAACAAAGGGTGTTTATTTTGGTAAGCTAACCTACATGTAGAAAATGTTAAGTGAATTTGAAAATGGTTTGCTACTGATAAACAGCAATAGCGATGCTGTGCATTAGCCTGAGTATACAAATATAATTTGTTTAGAACAAAGATCTTTTTTTTTTAATTGTCCTTTAAGTGAAAGTTTACAATTTAAGTTAGTTTCTCATACAAAAATTTATACACACATTGTTATGTGACCCTAGTTGCTCTCCCTATACTGCGACAGTATACCCTCATTTCCATCCCAGATTTCCCGTGTCCATTCAACCAGCTCCTGACCCTCTCTGCCTTCTCATCTCGCCTCTGGACAGGAGCTGCCCATTTAGTGTCATGTGTCTACTTGAGCTAAGAAGCACACTCTTCACGAATATCATTTTACGTCCCACAGTCCAGTCTAATCTTTGTCTGAAGAATTGGCCTTGGGAAGGGTTTTAGTTCTGGGCTAACAGAGAGTCCAGGGGCCATGTCTTCAGTCAAACCATTAAGTCTGGTCTTTCTACTGGAATTTGAGTTCTGCACCCCACTTTTCTCCTGCTCTGTCAGGGACTCTCTGTTGTATTCCCTTTCAGGGCACTCATTGGTGGTAGCTGGGCACCATCTAGTTCTTCTGGTCTCAGGCTGATGAAGTCTCTGGTTTATGGAGCCCTTTCTGTCTCTTGAGCTAATACGTTCCTTGTGTCTTTGGTGTTCTTTATTCTCCTTTGCTCCAGGTGGGCTGGGACCAACTGATGCATCTTAGATGGCCACTCATTAGCTTTTAAGACCCAGATGCCACTCACCAAAGTGGGATGCAGAACATTTTCTTAATAAACTTAGGACAAAGATCTTAAAGAGAGAAAAGTGATCATTTAAAATGTGTTGTTATTTGAACATGAAGTCCATTTTATAAAGGCCACATCATGGTAAAAATCCAGACTTGGCATCATTCAATGTTTGTTTAACAGTGACCAAACAAAATGCACAGACTTTATCTACTATTGTTGTTGTTGTTGTTGTTAGGTGCCGTCGAGTTGGTTCTGACTCATGGCAGCGACCCTATAGGACAGAGTAGAATTGCCCCATAGGGTTTCCAAGGAGCAGCTGGTGGATTCTAACTGCTGACCTTTTTGGTTAGCAGCCGTAGCTCCCCATAGATCTTAACCACTGTGCCACCAGGGCTCCATTTAATACTGTAGGTTTTATATACACACATATATACAAATACAATATATATATAAATATACATATATAACATATAGGTACCACCCAGGATATTCCTTAATATATATATGTTACTATATTTTATTTACATATATATATATATATATATATATTAAAGAGTCCCTGGGTGGTACATGTATTTTGGAGCCCTAAGAATTCAGCTGCTAACCAAAAGGTTGGCAGTTCAAATCCACCATATGCTCCTTGGAAACCCTCTGGGGCAGCTCTACTCTGTCCTATAGGGTTGCTATAAGCCGGAATCAACCTGATAACAATGGGTTTGGTTTTTTTGGGGGGTGGTGCAAGCAGTGAAGTGCTCAACCACTAGTTGCAAAATGTGGCAGTTTAAACCCACCCAGGGACACCTCAGAAGACAGACCTGGCGATCTGCTTCTGGAAAGTCACAGCCCTGAACATCCCACACAGCAGTTCTGCACACGTGGGGTTGCCATGAGTTGGAATCGACTTGACAGGAACTAAGAACAACAAATACATATATATAAAATACTCCTTCAGACAACAGACTATATGCTGTCCTCAAAGAAAATGTATTATTATATAATTTTCTTACTTTCATTTTTTTCAGGCTCTATGTTCTTTGGTTCTGAATCATAAGTCAAGTCCACCTCTCCTTTCATTAATATAGTGACGTAATGGTAGTTCTCTTTCTCAATGAAAGAATTCACAACCGAGGCAAAGCGAACATTTTTCAGGTGAAGAGCTGCTTCTTCCAAGGTTTCCCTTTTAGCACATTCTTCCCAGCTTTCACTGGAAAACAGAAACACAACATTGTATTCAATTCTATGTATATAATTTTTTTTTTTTTGCCATGAAATTCTTGGCTAGAAACTTCTAAGGTAAAGCAAAAAGTACCCTAATTGGTTCACGCTTCTAAACAACACATCGCCAACCCTGCCTTTAACATTCAGTATATCTTAACATCTACTTATCTGAAGACCAAAAGGACTTCAGATAAGTATTACCATTGAACCCATTCAGCACTAATTCGCATGACTCGAGACAGACTGCAACCAGGAGGCGGTTTAGTTGATTAGTTAAGAGCGCAGGCTTTGGCATCAACTAGACCTAGGTTTGAGTTCCAACTCCACTATTTTCTACCTATATAACCTTGAAGAAGTAAAAAGAGAATAATATTACTTTCTTCTGGGGTTGCTGTGAGCGTATCAAGAAGCAGAATACAAAACAGAACTACCATAAGACCCAGCAATTCCACTCCTAGGTATTTACCCAGAAGACTTGAAAAGAGACGTGAACACCAGTGTTCACTGCACCACTATTCACAAAAGCCAAAAGGTGGAAACACCCTAAATGCCCATCAACAGATGAACTGATAAACAAAATGTGGTACATACATACAATGGGATACTACTCAGACAGTAGGAGAAATGAAGTCTTGATACATGCTACAGTATGGATGGATCTTGAAGACATTATACCGAGTGAAATAAGCCAATCACAAAAGGATAAATATTGTACGACCTCACTTATATAGAAAGACAAGAAAAGGCAAATGGATAGAGATCTAAGTTTATTAGTGGTTTACCAGGGGTGGGAGGGAGGGGGAAAGAGGGGTTAATGGCGATGGAAAAATTGCATGTATTAAGCATAGAGTTGTACAGCCTATTATTATAACTGCTGTCAATAAGTTGTACACCTGTTAAAAGTTGAACTGGTGAAAGTTGTGTGATAGATGTATTTACAACAATGACAAAAAAAAAAAAAAAGAGTAGTTGCTGGGGCTGCTTATGTGCTCATGTGCAACCAAACACATCATGGGATTTGGTTCCTTGGTTTGGAAGTTTAGGGTCATAGTTTCATGGCACATCCCAGTTGACTGGCCTAATAACATGTTTAGTGCTTCTGTTCTACCTCCTAGTTGGTTGTGTAATGCCTGGGGTCTTATAAGCTTGCAAGTGGCCATCCAAGGCACGATAATTGGTCTCTACTCACCTGGAGCAACAGAGGAAGGAGAGTCAGGAATAGGAGGAGGATATGGAATGTGTGGCTAATTGTCTCCATGAACAACTGCCTCCTTTGCCATGAGACCAGAACTGGATGGTGCCTGATAACCATTACTGAAGATTCTGATCAAAGATTCCATAAAAGAATCTTGATCAAAAGGGGGGAAACGGAGAACAGACCCTCAAATTCTCATGGACTCTAGACTTTCTAGAGCCGTGGAAGGTGGACAGACCCCTGAAACTATTGCCCTGAGATAATCTTTAAACCTTAAGCCAAAATATCCCCTAAACAGAACCATAGTTTAGCTTACCCAGTAAAAAGGGTCTGCATGAGCACTGTGCTCTTTTAAGAGATCAAAGTGACAATAGCAACTCAAAAGATTAGATCGGAACCTTAGAGACAGTGAGTTTATGTTAATGAGGGAGGAACAACTCAGAAAAGGAGGGTGAGAATGGCTGCACAACTCGAAGAATGTAATCAGTGACACTAACCGGTACATGTAGAAAATGTTGAATTGGTGTATGTTTTGCTGTGTATATCTTCAATGACAACAAAATAAATAAAATTTAGGGAAAAAAAAGTAGACGATGTCTTTTCCTGTAGTCTCAGACTTACAGTTTTAGCTTCAAATTGAGGACAGTAAGCACCTCTACATCTCAAGAGTCCAGCAAAAGAGCAAACAGATCTGCCCTGAGCTAAGGGTCTGCTAAGGAAGGTCAGACTACTCTCTGACTCTCACCCCACACAGTCTGCATAAGATGAGCAGGAGTTCTTTGGAAGAGAGGAGAGTTCTGAGTTTTCAGCACAGTAGGAATGTTTGCTGTTTCCTGTCCTCCCTCTGAGAGGCCAACTCTGTCCCCAAGCCAAGTGAGGGGTGCTTCAAGACACTCAGACATTGGGGATGTCAGCAAGAACGGGACACTGGTGTGTCACTTCCCTGATAAATTAACATGGAGGTGCTGAAACTCTAAGGCCTGCCCCAGTCTATCAGAGCAGAGATGGGAGGAGGGCAAGAGCTGTTGGCTAAGTATGAAATGTATCCCCTGGAGTTTGGGGATACATGTCAATAAGGAGGCTGATGCTTAATTCCCAGGAAGGCAAGAGACTGGCTACAGTGGCCAATGATGGCAGAGCAAGGAAGAGGGGTGGCAGTGAAAGCACCATTCCCACTGTGAGCTTCCCTTGGGCCAAGCCAATACCACAGGATTGCCCGGTAACCCAACAGGGGGCTCCAGCGGAAAGAGGCTGCAGGTGGTGTGCTAAGAGCAAGAGTTAGGAAAGGTGGGTGGGGAGTCACAAAAGGTCAGTCACCTATGTCAGGGAACTGTGCAGCAGAGAAATCTCTGTGGGACTTCCAAACAACCCACAAACACACCCTAAGAAAGCGAGCACCCGTGTGGATACCTGCATCAGAGGGCGCCGACAGATAGATCACAGCAGCACTAATCATGTAACACACAGCAGGAGCGGGGTGGGGAGAAAGAGTAAAACACCAGGGCACACACCTCCTTCCGCCACTACTGGTGTCCGCACCACAGGAAAGAGATTATGAACTGGAAGTGAGATGGAAGTTTAAATTCGGGTTGAAGTTTTAAATGCTTGGAAAGTGAATCATAATGACCAAAAAGTGATTTTTATAACCAAGTGACAGGAAAACAACAGAACATGCAGGAGATGTCATCAAGGAGCAGAGAAGGGAAATATGACAAATCATGTTTAAGAGAGAAGGAAAATAAAGCCACTTCCTGTTTGTCCTCCATCTAATTTAGCCCATTCAACATGCAGGTTACAAGACCTTAGCACACCATCTAGCACTGAGGAAGCTCATTCAAGTTCAATGTTCCTGTTATCCTTAGATTATCTGAGTGAGGACTCCACATTGTCTTGTGTTAGTAAGATAGCTACCTCTGCCCATTGCTCTAGTAATTATACATCCTAACTAGTGCTTAATTTGTGATCTAAGTTTGGCTAATGCCCACCAAAGATCAATTAGTACCATGTGCGCCTATCTGGGCAATTTGGTTCTTAATTACCTGAAAATTACCAACATATTGATACTCTTTTAATTTTGAAGATCATTAAAGAATTCCATCCCCATGTGCTGAAAGATCGTAAGAATTCCATATTTTATAAAGGACAAAGTCTGATTAAAAGGCTAGAATTAAGCCTCTACTTCTAACCACCAGTTTATAGGAAATAGGTGGAACAGAAGAACAGCTAGAATGTTGAGAAATTCTCCAGGACACATGAGCCAGATTTTCAACAAATAAATGACATGGGGAAAAAGTGGGGGTAAAACTATTAGATTGAGAGACTTAAAAGACTTACAAACCAAATGCAGTATGTGTCCTTCTGTTCATTGCCAACAGTAAAAAGAGATCTTCAAGATAACTGGAGCCCTGGTGGTGCAGTGATTAAGAACTCAGCTGCTAACCAAAAGGTTGGGAGTTCAAATCCATCAGTCGCTCCTTGGAAACACTATGGGGCAGTTCTACTCTGTCCTATAGGGTCACTATGAGTTGGAATCAATTCAACAGCAACAGGTTTGGTTTTTGGTTTTCAAGATAACTGGGAACAATGAACACAGACTGGGTATCAAATGATATTAAAGAATTATTAATTTTGTTGAGTGTGAAAAATGATACTGCAGTTCTGTTTTTAAAAAGGCTAACAGAGATACAGAAGCCCCTGGGTGGTGTAAACAGTTAACCACTCGGCTGCTAGCCAAAAGGTTGTGGAAGTTTGAGTTCACCCAGAGGCTCCTGGGAAGAAAGTCCTGGCAATCTGTTGTTATTGTTGTCAGGTGCTGTCGAGTTGGTTCTGACTCACAGTGACCCTACACACAACAGAACAAAACACTGCCCAGACCTGCACCATCCTCACAATCGTTGCTATGTTTGAGCCCACTGTTGCAGCCACTGTGTCAATCTACCTCGTTGAGGGTCTTCCTCTTTCTCACCGATCCTTTATTTTACTAAGCATGATGCCCTTCTCCAGGGACTGGTCCCTCCTGATAACATGTCCAAAGTACATGAGGCAAAGTCTCGCCATCCTCAATTCTAACGTGTATTTTGGCTATAGTTCTTCCAAGACAGATTTGTTCATTCTTCTGGCAGTCCACGGTACAGTCGATATTCTTCACCAACACCGTAATTCAAAGGCATCAATTCCTCTTCAGTCTTCCTAATTTGCTGTCTAGCTTTCACATGCCTATAAGTCACAGAAAACTCTACAGAGCACGGTTCTACTGTGACACACATGCAGCCGCCATGAGTTGGAATCAACTTGATGGAAACTGGTTTGGTATTAGAGATACATACTGAAAAGTTCTGGCATATGACAGGTGTCTTAGTCATCTAGCGCTGCTATAACAGAAATACCACAAGTGGATGGCTTTAACAAAGAAATTTATTTCTTCACAGTAAACTAGGCTAAAAGTCCAAATTCAGAGCGTCAGCGCCAAGGGAAGGCTTTCTCTTCTATCGGCCTTCTCATCAATCTTCTCCTGGACTAGGAGCTTCTCAGCGCAGGAACCTCAGCTCCAAAGGATGCGCTCTGCTCCCGGTGCTGCTTTCTTGGTGGTATGAGGTCCCCATGTCTCTCTGCTTGCTTCTCTCTTTTATATCTCAAAAGAGACTGACTTAAGACACTATCTAATCTTGTAGATCTCATCCATATAACTGCCGCTAATCCATCTTATTACATCATAGTGATAGCATTTACAACACATAGGGAAATCACATCAGATGACAAAATGGTAGACAATCATACAATACTGGGAATCGTGATCCAGCCAAGTTGACAGCTATTTTGGGGGGACACAATTCAATCCATGACAACAGGATATCTGAGATTTCCTTTAAAATGTTCCCCAAAACAAAGTGTGTTGGGTGGAGGCAAGGTAGTACAGACGAAATAAGAACAAGCTGAGTGAGGGGTACATGAGAATTTATTGGCCATTTTCTTTACTTTTATATACGTTTCAAACTTTTTATAATAAAGGAAAAACAAAGCACAGAGTCTGAATGCTTTGGTATTTATCTCTCATTTTTAACCTTATTTTCACTTCAGAATCCAATTTTTTAGGTGGTGTTTATCTATTGTTTTTAATCTTATTATTCTCACTTCAGACTCCAACTTTTTGCACACTCCCAGAACTTCTTCACCCTTGTGTAGAACTGACTTTAACTGTCTAACTTTCCTTTGTCAGTCTGGTGTATCATCAAATTACAGAATGAGAAAGCAGAAAGGGACCTTAGAGAATATTGCGTCCAACTTCCTCATTTTAAAGATGAAGAAACAGACGTCCAGAGAGTTTCACTAGCCCGTTTGAATGATTCAAGTGCAATTAAACTTAGGAGGCCAGTAAGTATTGAATACATCTGTGTACTTAAATCTTGTGGAAACCGTGATGTTTTAATTGCAAAAACTGGACGGCTCGAGATTTAGAAACATCATTCTCTTATACGCAAGCACGAAGAAGGAAAAAAAAAAAAAATCTGACAAACCAACTCCAAGCTGCTGCCAAGCGGACAGAGAGCTGAAGGGACTGACCCAGCGGAGCTCACACCGGGCCAAGGACACTAGGCAGCTCCGCGCCCCCTCCTGGCAGGGGCCTGCGGAACCCCACCGACCGAGGAGCAGAATAGAGGCAACGCGCGAGAACAGACGCGGTGTCGGCGCGAAAACGGGCGCGCACGCATGGACGCACGCACTACGCACGACACAAGCACAGCCTGCGGTCGTCTTCCCCGCCCAACTTCCGCTTTCCCCGGGTCGGCCAAAGGGTGGCTCACCCGAACTCCAGATGACCCCCAGGAAGTTGGAAACTGCCGGCTCCAAACGACCCTTTTCTCTTCCCCAGGAGGACACAATGAGGATGCTTACAACTAGTCACGACTACTCCTACCCCGACTCCGGGCCGCCACCGCCCCCGTCGCTGTGCACCAGTGGTCATAGTGCCCTGGAAGACTCGCTCGATCGCAGCAGGAAGTGACGTTAGCTCCGCCCCCTCGACCACCGCCGATCTCTGCCTGTGTTGGCGGGAGCGCTGGAAATCAAAGTCGGAACCTCTCGGCCGCCGCCGCCTTTGGTACATGGTTTCTCTACCTGATTTAGAGGATTTAGTTTATGAAGCGTCGTGTTTCCTCCCGAAGGACAGCGTGTCAAGGGTTTTGTTTTAACTAATGACGCTGCTGCAGTTTTAGCATTCATCGTCTCTTTTCTGGCAGATTCGTCTAAACTATGCATTTAACAAGCTATTCGCCTTTGTAAACGTTCACCTTTGCACATCCTATTCTTTTTTTACCCCTGCATGACCCTCTCCATCACACAGAACTCGTTCTCACTAACTGAAGTCACTGTGGTACAGGGCAAGGACAGATAGTGCAGAAACATTCTAGTATGAATGTCATTAAAGAGTATTCACAAATAAGGAGGGGAGAACAAGGATTAATTAATATATTGTGCTGGATAATGAGTGTAGGGCTATATTTGGGAGGAAAAACAGTTGCCGTTCTAGATGTTTGCATACCATACACTAAAATGTTTTTAATAGATGAAACAAAGAATTGTAATTAAAACAAAAACAAAAGAATAGTCTCTGGAGAAGGATTTACTTACGTTTTATATAAATTAATTTTGCTTCTACCAAAGTAATATGTGCACAAAATTTATAAGTCAAATGATACAAAAACTACAAGAACAACCCTATGCTCTAGTCCTGCTCCCAGAGACAGTCACTTTTAACTCTTTGAACTGTTACTTCTGATATTTGCCTGCATATTTCTAACATGCTCATTCTGCATGTTATGGTAAATAATGATTAATTAAGCTCTCTTACAACATCTCTCCTCCCACCAACACACATCCATCAGTGTCCTCTCTGCCATAAAGGTACTTTATAATATTTGTTGTTATATTTTATTAAAACCATAATTATGGTTTAATTTTTTTGCACTTGTATTAAAGCAGTGGGAGCCCTGGTGGCGCAGTGGTTAAAAGCTCGGCTGCTAACCAGAAGGTTGGCAGTTCGAATCCACCAGCGGCCTCTTGGAAACCCTATAGGGCGGTTCTGCTCTGTCCTGTAGGGTTGCTGAGGCATAATCGACTCGATGGCAACGGGTTATATTACAGCAATATATGAACGTAGTGCTAAGATACAAAATTCTGTTGTTAAAGGCTTATAATGAAATAGGAATTTCTTTGTCGAACTTCTGCCCATCACTCTCCCTGGCCCCCTTCCCACTTTCCCTTTTTCCTTATTTCTTGTAGCATATATTTCCACCTTTGAAAAATACATTTTTATATAAAAATATACTTTAAAAAGATGTTTGTAAAAAATGTATACTTATCTAAGTAATATTTTCTCATCATTTTTAGAAATCAAGTAACAAAATAACACTTGTGCTAATTTAAAAAATATATCCAAATGTGTGGCTAATTGTCTCTATGAACAACTGTCTCCTTTGCCGTGAGACCAGAAAAACTGGATGGTGCCTGGCTACCATTACTGAACATTTTGATCAAAGATTGCGTAGAAGAATCCTGATCAAAAGGGGAAAATGCAGAGGCAGGGCCAAGATGGTGGAGTAGTCAGATGCTTCCTGTGGTCCCTCTTACAACAAAGACCCAAAAAGACAAGTGAATCAATTATATATAACGGTCTAGGAGCCCTGAACATCAAAGACAAAGTTAAGGAATCCGACTGAGCAGCAGGGCGAGGGAGAGATGGTTCAGAAGCAGCAAGGAGTTGCCAGACCTGACCTGGCCAGCACTGGCACCCTGCAGGCTAGATCTGCTGGCGCACATGGTGAGGCAAGCAGTGGTGCTCAGGACCAGGGGAAGATTGATGACAATACCTTCCCCCCAGAGCCAACAGAGACAGAAACCATTGTTTGGGAGCTGGTGCCCTGAATTCAGACTTCTAGACTCCTAGACTGTGAGAATAAATTTCTGTTTGTTAAAGCCATCCATTTGTGGTATTTCTGTTATAGCAGCACTAGATAACTAAGACACTAGTTCTCAGAAATTGTCCCCTTCACCCTCCCTCGAAAAATGTTTTTCTAGCCTGTGCCTAGGTCCTTACGAAGCATGACCCGCTACTGCAGCCAGGTACATGTGCCTACTCCAGTCACCCCTACCAGTCCAGGACTGTAGGTGAGAGCCTTGTATTTTTTTTATAAACTTGTTCAGCCTAATGCAAGGGGGCCTAACCCCCCCCCCTTAAAACTTAGAATAAACTAATGTTATAAAGCTATGGCTTTTTTATATCAAAAACCTTTTTCCTGCCTTAAGCGTTAGATATACTATGAGGACTTTTGTTTTATATTTCAACAGAATCCTCCATCTTAATGATAAAGTAACTCAATTTAACATAGACTACAGATGTCCAGGTGCCAGAAAACCTGTGGTTTTAGTAGTCAGCGAGAATTCTGTATCACCTGGAGACATCCTTATAAAAGATGTCAACACCTGCCAGGATGGTCAACCAAGGTGTTGCCACCTACAGCTTTATATATATTAATGAATCAAAATTTTTTAGCTGTAATCTGCTGCTTGCAGTTTTTTTCTTCGTAAGTCTTTGTATTACTGTAAGCCCCCAGAACACATCGTTGGATTTCTCCCAGCACTGCCTCTCCTCGTTTTGCAGAACACTTTCTTTGCCACAATAAAACTCTTTGTTTTTAAACCTAAACAGATGTGTGGTGTTTACATTACAACAAGGTATTCACACCGCTGAGAAACTTACTTCCTTAGCAATCATAGGGGTTGGTTCCTGAGCAACTAAGGTAAAATCTGGGGGAAAGGTTACTTAGAGCTCTTAGAGTTAGCTCATTCATTTTATAAATAGGTCAGATGCCTCTGTTTTTATTTTATCCCTTATCAAAACCAAATAATAGCTTAACTAGTGAAAAATGTCTGCCTTGAGCATTGTGCTCCTTTAAGATTTATCTGTATGGAATCAGAATGGCAACAGCAACTCCAAAGAATAGATAGGAACCTTAGGTGAGTTTATGGTAATGGGGGAGGAACAACTCAGAAAAGGAGGGTGAGAATGGGTGCACAACCCGAAGAATGTAATTGGTGTCACTTAATTGTACATGTAGAAACTGTTGAATTGCCGTATATTTTGCTGTGTATATTCTCAACAACAACAACAATTAAAAAAGAAAAAATATATCCAAGGCAATATAATGTATTTCACAAAGATAAGTACACAGTTTAAGGACAAAAATAAGACAAGATGGTGTCTGATGGGGATGGAAAAGAAGGAAAAATATAAAGAGGACAGGTGCTTTGCACAGACTGATTCTGATAATACACTGAGGACTGGAAAGTACAAGCAATTTAGTCTTAGCCTCTGAGATCCATTTAAAAAAAAAAAAAATTTTTATAAATCAAAATTGGCAGTATATAAAAAGTATAATATATCATGACCAAATGGGGTTTATCCTAGAAATACAAGGTTGGTTTAATGTTTGAAAAGTCAATCAATGTAATTCTTCATATTAACAAAAGAAAAAGGAAAATCATATGATCTTCTTAATAGATGCAGAAAAAATTGATAAAATTTAATACCAATACATGATAAAAACCAAACAATTGTCAGCAAAGTAAAAATAAAAGGTAACTGTATCAACCTGATAAGGGACATTTAAAAAATCTACAGATAATATTGTATGGTGAAAAACGAGATGCTTTTGCCCTACGATTTGGGAAAAGCAAAGATATCCACTTTCAGCACACTCAGTCATCATTTTGCTGAAGATTGTAGTCCATGCAATAGAAGCCAAGGAAAATCAGTAAAGGTATGTAAATTGGAAAGGAAGAAGGAAAAATGTATTCATAGCCAGTCTAAAGAATCTACAAAATACTAGAACAAAAACAAGTCAATACACAAAAATCAGTTCTATTTCTATATACTAGCAGTGAGCAATGAGATTGAATTTAGGAAGCAACACCATTTACAATAGCATGGAAAATACGAAATACTTAGGGACAAATTTAGCAACATGTATGCAAGGCCTGTACACTGAAAACTCTACAATGTTACTGAGGGAGATTAAAGAAGACTTAAAGAAGAAAGACACCATGAACATGGATCAGAAGAATCAACATTGTTAAGATGTCCTGGAGGATTTATCTTAAAGGTAAATAAACACGTTTAGTTTATTGCAAGGTAGTCGTGGCAAGGCACGCAAGTTAAGACCTCAAGACATTCATTTAGCATTGGAGAATCAGTATTAACAATTACAGTGTTAGTTTAAATGTTAAAGTGCACATCTCTGGACTTCAGGCTTTTACCTTTAACGAGTGGTCTTGGGGAGGAGACTCAACCACCCCTTGAACTCAGAGGAGGTCCCCTGTTAGCTAGGATCCAAGGTCAGTTATGACAAACACTGTGAGCAGACTTCTCAGTCTTAAGACAGAGAGAGAACTTCTGCTTCTGTCTTCTCCGAAAATGAGCAGAAATCCACGGGTTTATACACCCTGTGTGCTGTCATGTTCAACTACAAATGGTATGTTTTATTGCCAGTGAAAGGCATTGTTGTATGACATATGTTTTGCTAATTTATAAAGATTTTGAATTATTGCCAATTAGGGTATGACATATTTATGTTCTTATTTACTACGTGTTTCAAGGCTAAGTTAATTTATTAAAAATGACAGGAATTGTTTAGTGACGTTTATGTTTGATTAATTTATAGAGATCTGATTATTGTTACATTCTGTTATTACAGAGTACAGGTGCACAGCCCAATTTCAGAAAGTTATTTATGACCTATTTACATCTATTATCTGTTTTCAAGGTTAGAATAACTTCCTAACGACTTACAGTTAATGGTTAGAGAGCATTATAGAAATACATACGTTTCTATTTCTAATTCAGAAAATCTCTACTACAAATTATAATTATACATAAGTGTTTAAAAGCATAAAAACAACATAACAGTGTACAAGCGTTAAGAAAGTATACATAACTTACACATAGATGTTTAAAAGCATTAGGACAACATTGAAACAGTGTAAAAGCATTATAGATGCATACATAATGGTAAGGTGATTTAAGGACATCATAAGAAGCATACATAACAGATGGCAAAACTTTTCAATTTGATTTACATAGATTTAATGCAATCCCAGTCACATTACCAGAATTTTGTTTATTTTTCAGTAGAATTTGATAAACTGATTCTAAAATTTATATGGTAAAGGATTAGAATAAAAGACAAGGTACTAGAATAACCAAAATAATTTTAAAAAGACAAAATCTGGAGGATTCACCTACCTGATTTCAAGACTTAGGATAAAGATATAGTAATGAAGAAAGTACAGCATTGGTAAAAGCACAGACATACAGATCAGTAGAACAAAATAGAGAAATCAGAAATAAACTTACATATTTATGGCTAACTGATTTTTGAAAAATGCACAGAGGCAATTCAGCAGGGAAAAGATAATCTTTTCAACAAATGGTGCTGGAACAATTTGACCTACAAATGCAAAAAAAAATCTCCGATCCATACCTGGCATCATGTATAAAAATTAACTCTAAATGGACTGTAGACATAAATGAAAAATCTGAAAGCATAAAATTTCTAGAAGAAAGTCTTTGTGATCTTGGGTTTGGCGTGGATTTCTT